AAAAAAAAAAAAAAAAAAAAGTTACCCAGAGCTTTCAGTCTGAGAATCGTTGCCTAAGAATTGGTCCGTGAAGCCGGAGAGAAGGCAATCCAGGCCCCAGGGAGAAGTGATTGCAAAGTAGGGGTCAAACTTCTTGCTTGCCACTCTCATTTTGATGATTCTGAACATTAGAAAAGAGGAACATTGGATGGAGTCAAGGGCTCCTTGGTTACTTGTTAGAGGATGTGAAAAAGAGAGTTTAGACTTCTTTGGCCTAGTGTTTCAATACTCACGTCATAGGCATCTTGATTTAGTCTGTGTGTCACCATACATGTTACGTGGGTTTATATTTTCATTGCTGGATGGAAACCTGCACTTTGGTGGAGAATTTCTTAACTATGAGCTGCAACTTTATCTGTGCATCGCCATTACCGTCATCTTGTTCATTTGTCATCATCTTCATTATCTGTGGGACTTCAGCTGTCAAGGTAACTGGGTTAATGGTTCCTGATGGTGTCACAAATGTCACCCACTCATAATTCACTCTGACCTCTGATCTAATCAGGACCCCTTTTCTGCAGTATCTAAGTCAACTTTGTGGCTCATGATTCACCATGTAATGTATTGATTATAGCAGGAACTCCTATTCACCCACTCATTCACACAAGAATCTGAATTATTGACATATCTTGCATTTTAACAGTGACATAGATTCCCTTGTTAGGAACTGAGGTGGGTGGGTCTTTTCTTTTCTTTTCTTTTCTTTTCTTTTCTTTCTTTTTTGTTGTTTTTATTTGCTGAGATGGTAGAGGTTGTAGTCTTCATTGTTTAATTAAGAACACTTGTCAGATGCTGAAGTGGCAGAATATCACTGTTGCTAGATCTGCAGCTTTCATGTGATGTGATGACTTTCTTTGATATTGAACACTACTAAAAAAGAGGGCACATAATTTAAGACCAGCTTTAGGAACATCGGGTCCAGGAGGGTTCCACTTCTGATCCACAGACTCTGTCCCATAGAAACTGGGAGAGAATGGGCACGTATAAAAAGACTGTTTCCTTTCACGTTGGAGCTCCTGGGAGGACTAAAACCAGGCTGTTACTAGGTTTCTGTTCTGTAAAGTGCCTGCTTTT